TGTCCTCTGAGCAGCAAACATGCCCTTGCTTTTGGTTTTCTGACTTTGGTTTTGAAATAACATGTCTACCGTGCAGGTTTAATTGCAAGCAGTGATAGCTCCTTCGAGGCAGCAATCACGATATTTCGAACCAAGTGAAGTATAAAGGTAGAGGTGATAAGGTGTACCGAAGAACAACCCCCGAAAACAGCCGAAAACTGGAAAAATGTTACCTTCTTCCGCCCCTTGCTTTTGGGATGTGGACAAGCTTATGACTGGTGCAGTGGGCAGGGTGAGGTATCAAAACCAGGTTTCGACAAGTTCTAAGGGGTCTCTAATTCTTAACAGTTTCAACAATTTCGTGCGTCCACTGATCTGGGTTCGTTTAGACTTGTCGTGTTTTATTTTTGATGGTGCTCGTCAGAGGGGCGTATGAGAGCCATTGTTGACCGTCGCGCTTGTACTTTTTTGAAATTCTACGACTTCCTTTCCTATTGTCTTGATACGAACCTTCTTCCACATACGCATGTGAGGGGGGAGGGTAGTCCATAAATACGACCACACTCTCACCACAAGCTCACATCAGTGCTGCTTTTAGGTATATGATTTTGATTGTAAGAATAGTGGACCCACTTCAACCCCGCCTCTATTTTCGCCTATTTCACGCACATTCTAAAGTTCGTGCCAGAGCCGTCAGGATCTTCTCCCGTCCCATTAACATAACTCCTTCGGGGGAGCGTGCAACAGAATCGGGTGCTAACTTAGTTGGGGGGGGGGGCACGCGGCGGCGCGGCAGTCTGCTCGCCTGGCATGTTCGGAAATCCGTGGGCCAGGGGGAGTGTAGGCAGTCTAGGGGGTGGGGGGGGGGGCAGTCACTTGACATGCGTGAAAAGCTGGAATGTTCGAGTTTACACTGTCTCGCTCGAGAGCAGACTGCCGCGCCGCCGCGTGGTCTCCCCCCCAAACTAAGTTAGCACCCAGAATCGTCCGGGAGCGGCGCCGTAATGCGGCATTTTTTCGATGGGCGCGGCAACAATTGACTTTGTCGATTGGAGCGACAGATTTGCTGCGGTCCACATTAAGCCTTTTGGCGCTGGCCCGTCAACTTAACGTTTTATTTTCTTCTTATTTTTAGGCCCGCTTCATTGCTGACGCTGACGGCTCGTGCGATCTTAAGGATCGTCCCTACTCAAGATCAATAGTATTTAATTGAAATTTCAGGTACGCGAGGGTGGAGGAGACGGCGCCCGTGGTGTGAATGTGTTAAAAAAACGCTCACGTACGGTGAACCTTGGCGGAAAAATCAGTTTACTCGTGAGATTGAGCGTGGCTTCCAAAAAAAAAAACTAAACGAACCTATGTGGATATACGCTGCTGTTCCGACATACCTCTCGCGGCTATCTAGCGAAAACATGCTGGCAATCAGTTATGCCACGCTTTCTGAATCATGCACGTCACTTCCAGTGACAGACCCACCCCAACTTTCGGATATCGACGTAGCTAGAACTACGTGTTATACATGTAAAGGAGGAATTCACGATTAGAATGAAGGTCGAAGAAAGGGAAACTGACCTAGTTGAGGGACCCACGGACCTCCTGAGGGTGACGCGCAATTCGCATGGAAAAATTTGACCTCGGCGACCTATCATGCCTCAAAGCTGGCGGGTCCGGCGATCTCCGCCCACCGATCATCTGATCACTCGCCGTAGTTCAATACGTGGCGAGTGATTAGATAGCTGAGAGAGCGTAGTGTTGAAGAGGGCACAGCGATGAGAGTCGCATCAATGCTCGAATCAACGGGCAAGGAAGGGGTACCATTTCTCGGGTTCTGGGCCGTTTCTCATGGTTCTTCCTTCTTTCGTGTACCACTCACCATCCCTAGGTTAATTTGAAATGGGTTGCTTTTTTCATCGTGAATTCTTCCTTTAATGTCACTACCATATATCGATCTGATCTTTCAACTAGGAATGAATAAATATTTGGAATTTATATACATTGCTTATGGCCCTGTTTTGCCCATTATCAAATGAGTTTCGACCGCGAACATCTGCCGGACGTATGATTCCCAACACTGCAATACTGCCGACCAGTGTGCTACATATGGTTCCATCAGATTAAACTTCTTTATCATGACTTAAGGTGCCAAATGGACATTTCCATACGGGGATGACTAGGTCATGGGATACTTGACACCATCCACCAATCCGGCCAGAAGGGTAAAATAGAATGGGTGTGTTTTTGATGAGAAGTCCAGTCAACTTGTGCACTTGCGAACACTGTTTGAATGCCTTCTGCGACGTTAGTGGTGCACAGCTCCTTGACGTTCCATTTGTTCCATCAACTCCTAAAAAAATTCCACGATACTAATATTGTTTCGAACAGCTAAGGAACTCGGAGCACTGGGCGTATGCTGCGTGTCCCCTGGGAACCGGTGGGCGATGTAACGCTGGTACCCTACGGTGTAGAGGTCTCGGCAGAAATAGCAACCCCATGATGGTGTGCACATTTGGAACTGCTCACACCGTAGCGTCCTTTAAGCCTGATGTGTAACCCAAGCGCATCTCTTTTCCTATTCCAGGCCTGGGCCAGATGGAAAGCGCAACCCTGCACCGATGCGCTTGGGAAGCACCTCTTAGCCGCAGTAATGGCGGCCTTCTCATAGTCCAGCAGAATTCTCAGTCGCTCCGATCCTCCCATGCTTCTGTAAATGGCATTCCTTCAATTCCATAAGATTCACCGTCATACACACTCGTTCGCATTTCGCTGAATAGAAGAAATGAGCCCGCGAAAACCGCCTCGAGTATCTATTAGGTTTGTCCTGAAAGTCTTTTGAACCATTCTGATTTTCCTTTACAATCCACATCTTCTTCTTTCAGCACACACCCAGGCAGAAGGTTGCGTGACAAGCTTCTCTTGGGTCGGGTAGTATTATGTACTCCTAGAGGGCAATCACAAATGTGAAGTTCTCGTGCACGGAAACCGACCGATAAGAGCGCTTGGGCCTTGCAAAGTAAGCTGCCCAAGCTGCAGACTTTTTTTTCTCTTATCAGGCTGTTGTCTGGCGATCTCTCATCTGTAGCGCTCTCTCGCCCCATACTCTCCTCTCCGCGCTTAGTCTCTCATTCCCTTAGCACAGCCGATTAGGAAGGTGTGAGTCCTTAACCTAAGCGTTTTTGACGGATTCTTTTCCTTTTTTCTTTACTGCCGGCTCACTTCCACATAATACATTCGCAGTCGTGAAACAAAAGCCACATCAATGTGATCCTGGGGCATGCCTTTAACCCAGCCAGCAATTTACACTCATATGCCCCATCGTCATCGTCAACATACTGCCTTTCAGCAGGTGACTTGTGGATGCCGTTTGCCTAGAAGTCCTGAGCTTTCAAGGCAAAAAACTGGAGGAAGTCCGTTTTCCGAGTAGTCCGGAACATAAAGCTCTCCCTCTTTTAGTTGAATCAGCAGCAACAGAAGCAGATGGTATTCTGTTGGGGCCGGATCGGCTGAACACAAATGGCGGGACAGAACATCCCATGAGGGGCTTAGACTTTTGCTGGACCTTCTTCAAAATTCTTGACGATCGCTGCTCGGATGAAGTGATCTTTGTAATGTTTTCTACGCATAGTGTTGGAGATCCCATCTGCTTGCCCACATTATTGAACTACAACAGCAGTGAAGTTCGTTGGTAGGAGCTGTCGGCAAACGGATCGCTTGCAGCTTTACCAACTCTGAAAGTTGCCTCTCAAGTTGCAGTGCTGGAAGTGGACGTCGGAATCTCTGGTTCTACGCGTCTGAGCCAGTGGCGCTCGCGGGTGTGGTTTACTTGAGGAACCCACTCCTTGCTACCACCAACAAAGTAGTCGGGTCAAACAAGATACAGCCGGTAAATCAAAATGTTCATGCAAAATCTGAAGGCTTCTGAAGGCGGTTGTCACCCAGATCACGAAATCCCTTTTTCCATAATTTCTTTTCTTTTTGAGGAGCTATTGAGGAATGGCCATTGTGTTCTGATGTCTGTGGAAAAACTGTGTCAGTTACCGTGCACTGCATCACAGACTGTCAAAGTCGATTTTTTCAGCCATAATAGCTGCGAAATACCACGGCAGAGACGCTCTGGAGAGATCATCGACTGGGGCTCACATACGTTTTACAATGGATGTTCAAAAATTATCCCTGGAGATTTCACAACATACACATGGAAATGGGCAAAGACTTTCAGGACACCTAATAATAGTTCCAGAAACGTTTCAAACCTTGCACATATGGCATATAGTAATCGGAAATCCACGGAGTTAGGCATCACTCCACGTATTATGTAGAGTTGGCCCGTTTTATTTGTAGTGCTCGGTTGGAGATCGTGAACGCCATCTCCAACCAGAACGCACAAGCCAAGCTGGCACGCCTTCTGAAACAGACAGGATGAGTTTACCTAACACGTCAGACCGGAATATCTCTTGAGAGCCGATTGTCAAAGGAATTTGATGCTTCAAACTTACTATACATGTTGGAAATTACCCGTACAATCCTTGGCGAATAGTAGATGTGAAGGTCGGAGGTGTGGATATTGAAGAAAAGGCGTGCCATCGGGTAACTCGGCGTATTCCCTCGGCACCACTTCCATCAGAGCGCCTATCGTACAACTTTGCGGGTGCTCTGGAATTGATGAAACTGATTAAATCTGAAACTACAATCTCACTTTACACAGCATTGCGGCTATTGGAAGAAAGCCAAGAGGTGAACCTAGACATCGTACTCCTCCGCGACTCATACCCATCCCGACAAAAAAGGTGCAGCAATTTTCCCCTCTCGTTTTGATCTAAGAACGAAAAGTAAAAGTAATGAAGTTGGCTTCATTGAGAGCAACTCACCCGCATCCTGACAATAATGAATTTTTTCGGCTAATTTCTACCACAGCTGCCGTGGCTTGACGTGCGCAAGTCTGGGGTCGGCCGGTATTTCTGCCTTTCCTGAATTTCGCTCATGTGCCCTGAACGGCCGCTTGGCTCAGACAAAACATCACTTCACCTGGTACACCATTCGCTGGACTTTGTCCTGCGCGTTCCGCAAGGGCTGGCAGACGTGCGGCAACAAAGCAGGATTCCCGATGGCTCACATCTACTCGCAACCTAAGCTATCATAATCAGTAGT